GAGTGTCCCACAAGAGTCTCCTACAAGAGTGTCCCACAAGAGTGTCCCACAAGAGTGTCCGGTATGAGTGTCCGGTATGAGTGTCCCACAAGAGTGTCCCACAAGTGTGTCCCACAAGAGTGTCCGACAAGAGTGTCCCATAAGAGTGACCCACAAGAGTGTCCTACAAGAGTGTGCAACAAGAGTGTCCTGTAAGAGTGTCCCACAAGAGCGTCCCGCAACAGTGTCCCACAAGAGTGTCCGACAAGAGTGTCCCATAAGAGTGACCCACAAGAGTGTCCCACAAGAGTGTGCAACAAGAGTGTCCTGTAAGAGTGTCCCACAAGAGTGTCCCACAAGAGTGTCCCACAAGAGTGTCCTACAGGAGTATCCCGCAAGAGTGTCCTACAAGAGTGTCCCACAAGAGTTTCCTACTAGAGTGTCCCACAAGAGTGTCCCACAAGAGTGTCCCACAAGAGTTTCCTACTAGAGTGTCCCACAAGAGTGTCCCGCAAGAGTGTCCCACAAGTGTGTCCCACAAGAGTGTCCCCCAAGAGTTTCCTACAAGAGTGACCCACAAGAGTGTCCCACAAGAGTGTCCTACAAGAGTGTCATTTGGACATACGTAGCTTTTTGAACGTGTTTGCATTCGGGTTCGTGGGCTCCATTTTGTTTTTTAAATCAATCCAGCATATATATACATAACTAGAGGCATCGTCGGAGTTTAAGACACCACGATGACAGGAAAGTTTGGTGTAAAGCGTAGACTCGACAGGAACGAATTTCAGGTGTTCAAGTGCGAAGCTTTTGCTCGAGAATGAGCCGTGCGCAATCTATATAGCTGAATCATGCTGAATCTATATAGCTAGATATTAAATGCGTTGGTCAAAATCAGGAAGCACACCGGGTGAAGTGGTTGCTCAGCGTCTAGAGTGTCAGAACAGCAACATGGGCTGGGAAGTTTGACCCAGCAAGTCTTGATAATGGAAGCAGATTCTCTCAACCCCTCCAGACCCTTTTTGGGCAGTAGTTTAATAGTTTAGTAGTTTAGCAGCAACAGTAGCACTAGCAGTAGGAGTAGCAGTAGCAGTGGCGGCCAGCAAAAGTAGCAGCAGCAGGAGGAGGAGGAGTAGTAGTGGTGGTAGTAGTAGTTGTAGTAGCAGCAGTAGCAGTATGGCATGTAGTAGAAAAACATATATAGTAATGAGTGGCAATAGTAGTAGCGGTAGCAGTAGCAGTAGCAGTAGCAGTAGGAGGAGTAACAGTAGGAGGAGTAGCAGTAGCAGTTGCAGTAGCGGTAGCCGTGGCAGCAGCAGCAGCCGCAGCGGCAGCGGCAGCGGCAGCGGCGCGGCAGCAGCAGCAGTCGTAGTGGTATTGGTAGTGGCAGTGAGTAGTGGTGGTAGTGGTGGTGGTAGTAGTTTAGGGCCGGCCGGCCGGCTGGCTGGCTGGGTGGCTGTGCGTCTATGGGCTCGGCAATGGTTTCTCGCTTGTCGGCCGGCCGGTATTACTTCTATTCCTTTGCTATTACTACGTGCTATTTCTGTTGCTATTGCTCCTGCTAGTAGGTTTCTGTACTACTGCAATTACGACGACGACGACGACGGCTGCTACCACTACTTCTACTACTGCTACGACCGCTGCTGCTAGACTACTACTACTGCTACTGCTACTGCTGCTACTCAACTACTACTAAACTACTACTAAACTACGACTAAACTACGACTAAACTACTACGACTAAACTACTACGACCAAACTACTACGACTAACTACTACGACTAAACTACTACACTACTACACGACTACGACTGCGACTGCGACAGCGACTGCTACTGCTACTGCTACTGCTTCTGCTACTACTACTACTACTACTACTGCTGAAACTACTACTACTACTACCACTACTACTACTACTACTTTTTTTTGCGACGACACGACGACTACTACTCCTACTACGACTCCTACTCCTACTGCCACTACTACTGCTGCTGCTACTACTACTGCTACTACTGCTTCTGCTTGCTAGTTGCTAGTTGCTACTTACGACTTATCACCAGTACATATTTCGTGCTACTTAAGACACGTGCAAAATTTGCAGAAAGTTCCACGTGGTTGACCGGCCGGTCCAGTCGCAATGTGGCCGGCCGGCCGCTGAACAGCCATATAGACATAGCCGGCAGGCCGCCCAGTCAACTACGCCCTACCAGCTACTGTAGAAACGATATTGTGTGT